ACTGTGACCTACACAAGTTTCTTTTTTTTTCTTTTTTTTCTTTTTTCTTTTTATTTTTTTTTGTTTTTGTTTTAAATTTATTTATTTTTCATTATTATTATACTTTAAGTTCTAGGGTACATGTGCACAACGTGCAGGTTTGTTACATATGTATACATGTGCCATGTTGGTGTGATCTGCACCCATTTACTCATCATTTACATTAGATATATCTCCTAATGCTATCCCTCCCCCCTACTCCCTCACCACAATAGGACCTGGTATGTGATGATCCCTTTCCTATGTCCAAGTGATCTCATTGTTCAATTCCCACCTATGAGTGAGAACGTGCGGTGTTTGGTTTTCTGTTCTTGCGATAGTTTGCTGAGAATGATGGTTTCCAGCTGCATCCATGTCCCTACAAAGGACACAAACTCATCCTTTTTTATGGCTGCATAGTATTCCATGGAGCTTCTTAACCTTTCTATAAGCTGCTGTTTCTTCATCTGCCTAATGCACATATTAATACCTGCATTTGTGGGGAATAAAAACTCTTATATGGTGTCAGGAAGTGTCCCTTGCTGCTCCCTTCTTCTTCTCATTTTTTACTTTTGTTATGGAGATTCAACTATTTATGCCTTGAAAAGTTTGATAAATGCCTTACATTAGAGTGCTCATCACCTCAGCCTACCCCAAGAAAGGTCACTTTAAATATCAAGAAAGATGATAAAGGAGGAGCATTAACAGACAGCATTGAAATGAAAAACAGAATTTCACTAGCTAGAAAAAATTAGGAAGCAAAGTTTACCCAGTGCTGGAAGCAGGAAGGCATCCTCCCTGTCCCTGAACTCTAGTCTACCTTCACTAGTAGAAATGTCACTGACATTACAAATGAAGCGATCACAGATTCTTAGGAGCTTTAGGGACTTAAAAAATTAACATTTACTATTTTTCAAATTATAAAACATATACATATATGTCAGAAATTCTGAAAATATAGAAATAAAGATTTATACTTATGTATTTTTGAAATTACACAATATGGAATTACAGAAATACAAAATCTCTTAAACATCTAGCATTTAGCATACAGTTTCTTTTTTTTTTTTTTTTCCAAATTAGGGGCTTTGGGTTGGGAGCACTGGGCAGCAGATTTGTGGGATTTTGGAATTTATATCACCTTGGTCCCGGCTCTGATCTTAAAATGTAAGTAAGAAAATGATGGGTCTCAGCTGCATCCATGTCCCTACAAAGGACACAAACTCATCCTTTTTTATGGCTGCATAGTATTCCATGGTGTATATGTGCCACATTTTCTTAATCCAGTCTGTCACTGATGGACATTTGGGTTGATTCCAAGTCTTTGCTCTTGTGAATGGCGCCGCAATGAACATACGTGTGCATGTGTCTTTATAGCAGCATGATTTATAATCCTTTGGGTATATACCCAGTAATGGGATGGCTGGGTCGTATGGTACTTCTAGTTCTAGATCCTTCATTATTCTCAGCAAACTATCGCAAGAACAGAAAACCAAACACCGCACGTTCTCACTCATAGGTGGGAACTGAACAATGAGATCACCTGGACTCGGGAAGGGGAACATCACACACCGGGGCCTATCATGGGGAGGGGGGAGTGGGGAGGGATTGCACTGGGAGTTATACCTGATGTAAATGACGAGTTGATGGGTGCTGACGAGTTGATAGATGCAGCACACCAACATGACACAAGTATACATATGTAACAAACCTGCACATTATGCACAGGTACCCTAGAACTTAAAGTATAATTAAAAAAAAAATTTATTTCAAGATAAAAAAAAAAAAAAGAAAATGATGGGTCTCAAAGAAGGTGTAAGCAGCCAAGAGGCTGATTTAACCTGATTCTATACTGAATATTGTTGTGTGAGATTCTTTAGGCATCTAAATGGTCCAGCAGGTTTGCCATGATTAAGGGGAGGTGAGAATTTGGAATATTTTTTTTTCCTAAATAGGGATTGTGCATTTGGATGGCACTTCAGTAAGCAGATGGGACGTGAGACAATGAAGAATCTAGAACCATACTAGCTTTAAAAACTTGAATTTACAAGTGAAGCTGCCATTCCCAAATAGATAAAATTAAATTGAAAAAATCCCCTTGCTTCCAGGAAGTGGGGGTGGGGGGGGTGTGTGTGTTTTAAATGATTCAATTATTTAATTTGCATCTGAGGATATACATCTGAACATAGAGGACAAATGGTCCTGCATAGCAACGTTTGTTCCTGTTTAGCAACAGTCATTAAAATGCATTACTAAATCCTTTCGTTAAACAAAAAGATACAAATATCAAATGAAGAGTGTTCCTTCAAAACTCATTTGAGCATCTCTGTGGTCAAAATTTACCAAATGAGTCTTTCCATTTGAGGCATCATGTAAAATAGTAATAAAATGAAATTATTTTAAGTGTGATTATATTAAAGCAATGTGACAATTCATACAATTGGAATAAAGCAGCAACCAGTGATTATCTTGTAACTACCTCTGAAAGTACACTTCTGTTTAATACATTATTATATGAAGTGCAATGACAGCTTGCAATTGTTAACTTCATCTGGATGCTTTTTATAGAATAAATCAAAGGGCAATGACTTCACAAGTGGTCATCTGTTTCTGGCAGAGATGTGAGGACTGTGTGGGTGAATGCAACTAATTTCTATGACAAGGAAAACCAATTCAAAGAGAAGAAAGCAAATTATGTTTTTTAAAAAAGCATCTATTTTTTATAGTTCTTAAACATTCATATTTGTATTTTTGAAGCCCCTGAAATACATTCCTTTAGCAGATCTTATGTAATTTCATATTCGGTGGTAAGCCAAGGCCAATTTGTTACCACGGATGATGGATTCACTATTGTGGAGCTGGAGGTTCAGAGATAGAAAGTGTCTCTCATGAATACCAGCCACAGCAGCTACAGCAGCTGCACAGCAGGAACAGAAGCTTTGGGGCCAACAGGAATATTGGTGGCCAAGACACAAAAAGTCTCTCCCACTTCCACTCCCATGTCCCTGTGGCTCCTGCCTGATGTAGGAACTGGGAGTTAACTGCTGGACAGATCTCTGGCCGTTCATGTTCAGTGCCTTTAGGATGTTTCACATCCTTAGGGGAAAGCTACTTTGCCATTATCCTGCCACACCTCTATCCAGATCAAGTAAGGCAAACCTCCACTTTAAGTAAAACCATAATATGAGAAACATAATAATTTAAGAGATGGTGAGTATTTTTGCAATTAGATCACAGTATTCAAAGCAAGAAGTATTTAGCTTAGATAGGTGCTTAGGAAACAAAATATCCATTGTCGCCAAGAGAAAAAGAGAAACTGGTCTGAGATAATTCTGAACAAGTGAGCATGGGTTAGGTTTTAGTCTTACTCCCTAGAGATAATGCTTAGTCACAGATGCTACTAAGCAACACAAGCATATCTGAGTTCTTCTGAGCTCACACTATATGAATGTAAATAATGGTCAAAATGTATGTAGAGAGGCCATTATAGGCTCGGGAACAGATGATGATGAACTATTAAACTAGACTGGGGTGGGTGCAACGGAGATTCAAGAGCTACTTGAATGAGAAATGAGAGAATCTGTTGAGTGACTAACTATGGAGGCAAGGAAAAAGGATAAGGATGGATCCAGTATTTCTTTCTTGAACAACTTAGTAGGGAGTAGTGACATTTACTAAATAAAACAAGTTAATAGAGAAATCTTTTAAATCATGACATCTGGTAAAACATGAAAAATAATTGATTGATTTGATGAACATTCAATATAGAAGCAAATGCCCAATAATACATCTTTTTTTGTGGGATAAAAAACAGACACATTAGCCTCTAGTTTTCTTGACCATAAGCCTCACAGCACATTAACACTTGACAGAGGCTGCCTCTTCTACAAAGACATTTGAGATTTTTACTCAATCTGGGAGGCTTTTATTCAGCATCAATGAGGCACTGACGTAATTCCACCCCAAAGCTGCGTGCCCTGCATTGACATGCTGAGTGCAAAGAGAGAATGATGATGACTTTGGACCCCAGGGGAAACTCCATTTCCTTCTAGCTCCCCAATAGACATAACTCAAACATCTGACAGAGATAAGGAAGTTCCACGATGAGAAGATGGCTTTCTTTTTCCCTTTGCAGGACTAGGCCCTTTAAGAAATAGATAAGCTCTCTGAGGTACTGCTGAGAGCAGCCAGATGGCTACATTGAAAGTCTAGCCCCATTGAAATCAGTCCTCAGGAAATTATTCCAGCTATCTTTTCTGACTTCTTTCATGGCTTTTGTCCTCTCAATATTTCCCAAGCTGGTGGTGTTTGACAGTCATTTTCAAATGCATGCCTACCCGAATTTAAATTTTGATCTCTTTTCTCTGAGTATGCCAAGTGGTATCAATTACCCTTCTTTTACAGGCTAAATTGTCAGCCTGGGTCTCATTTATTTATCAACTTCATTTTTTGGTGAGTCTTTTCATTTTGGTGGGTCTCATTTATTTATCAACTTCATTTTTGGTGAGTCTTTTCATTTTGGTGAGTCTTTTCATTTTGGGGGAGTCTTTTCATTCTAGCACAGCCTAGGCTATCTATCTCTGACAGCTCCCTAACTCTCAATCTCTGATTACAATCCCATCTGGAATTTACCAGTCACTTCTCCAGGATTCAATCTTAGCTAAAATCCAAGAGTCTTAGCTAATCCTCCAAGATGGGAGGATTGCTTGAGTCCAGGAGTTTAACAACAGCCTGGGCAACATAGCAAGGCCCTGTATTAATTTTTTTAAAAATCAAATGACTGATTTATTATTTAACTATAAACTTAGCAAATGTGTTAACACTGTTTAGTATTAATACTAACAAAACATAGTGCAAAAAAGTACATAACAATACATTTTAGAGAAGCAAAACATTAAAGGTTATGAAAAATAAGAATGAATTAAGATTTTCTTTTTAAATACAAAAAATACATATATAATTATAAAATATACATCATATACCTCATTCCAGCTATTGGCTTTCCATGAAGGGCATCTGACAGATCTACAGGCTTTGTGAGTTGGAGGTTTCTGTACTTGACTGCAATTTGTGTCTTCTAATTTCCTTTGGAATTGGTCAATGCAAAACACTTCACGGTACTTTCTACCTTTACCACAAGAGGCTGAGCACTAGAAAAGAAATATGAATGCACTTGATTCATTTTCTTCTTGATTAATTTAAGCTTATCTTAAAGAAGTACAAAATGCAACAATCCACACATAATTGCTTTGATATTTTTATTAAGATATACTCTGGTATTTCTAATTAGCAAAAAGTTAAAATTTACCAATCTGCTCTGGACTCTCAATTAATGTGAATATTACAAGATAATATGATGACATTTTTATAATTTATTCTACAAAAAATGTATTGATTGTCTACAATATGCCAGGTACTCTTCTGACACACCAATGCTTTAAATGTTTTAAGGTTAGACTATCCTCAACTAACTCCTTTTATCATCCAATAAAACTTGCATTCAATTTTGTAGTATCAATACCCATTTTATTTTTATCTCCATATGCTTTTCTATACTGTAAAGTATGTTTTCTATGTTAAAAAATTTTAGTAATCTCTCAGTGCAGGAAACTGTGATTGAGAAAGCAGAAAATTTATTTTTTTTAGCATCATTTCAATTCAGGTTGTTTTTTGCATCAGTCTGGAAGACGTCTTTCTCTACCATCGGCCCTCCGATTTATTTAGTAAACAAAAAATAACTGAAATGTTTTAAAAAATATAGGTAAAATAACGATTTGACTTTATTTGTCAGTCAGTTTTCATTTTATGAGTGAGGACAGTGCAATGTGGTAGAAAGCACTTGGGCTCTGGCATTGAGTACCACTTCTGCCACTTACAGCTGGGGAACTTTAGGCACATTTCATAACCTGTCCAAGCCTTGATTTTTTTTTTTCGTTTATAAAACATGAGTAGTAACATCAACCTTACAAACTTGTTATGAAGATTAACATGAGATAAAGAATATGAAATGTCTAACCCAGACCCTATTCCACTTGGTAAATCCTCAGTAAACATTTAGCTTCCTCTTCTACCATTCTACCTCTTCTACCAGAGAAGATATTGACAATTTTAGCATGGTATATGTACCAGGGGAAAGCTAAGCAAAGAAGTCATGGAGTCCAGACAACCTTTCTCACTCCAACAGTTGGCATATGGTTTCATTTAGAAACTACATTATGCATTTTATGCATATTGTGAATTCCTAGAATATTAGACTATACGGACTATTTGATACTCAAATAGTTTAAACTTTTAAAAAATGAACAGTCTGGAGATAATTTACCTTTTTATATTACCAGCAATATGTTACAATAATGCATTGATTATTAAGAACTATTATGATATCTTAGATGTTCTCTACCTCTCCTCCACTTCATTAATACTTACAGTCATTCCATGCCACTTAGAACACACTTGGTTCTGTGAAAATCTCTAATGGATCTTCATACGTTGTATTAAGATACATTCTTTCCTCCTATTGATCTAGACCTACCTATATGCTTTACCGTTCCTGACCATGTACCTTGGGCACTTTCCTTGCCTCTTTCTTTTCTTCATTGTTTACTTTTCAGAGTATAACCTATTATATACTAAAAAGAATCAAATATTATTGAGTGTCAAATATATACTAGGGAGTGTGCTGACTACTTTGAGTATGTACATGTTCACACATGGAAGAATAATTTTCCCCAAAATAATACTTTGAAACTGTGACCTTCCTTTTGAACAAAGGAAACATTGATTACTCCCTCTGCTAGTCACTTTATTAAAAGGTAATAATTATTGCGAATAGTCACGCAAGGATTCATTAAACAGCATCTCTTGCTTTTGCTCTTGATGTATCCTCAAAGTGCTTATAATCTAAATGACACACATCATCTATGAAGTGAATTATACCAGTGTAGGTCTTAATATTGCACTCAGTGAAGATCAGAAAAACAAAAACACTACATAATACTAAATACCATTAAAAGGATACAATAAAAAATGTGATGGAATATAAAAATTCATGAAATGTAGCCATTTCTTTCTGGGATATTTGTAAGTGCTCAAAGAGAAGGTAATATTTAAATTCATTCTTGAAGGAGAGGTAAGTTTGTTGACAGACAAAGGTGAATGGTCTTATATCTATGTTTGATATGACTTATCTAGACATTGTCCAGGTGTGTCTGTTTTGTAAAATTCCCAGAGTTCTTCTAACAATGCCAAGAATCAAAGAATCAGCCAGTAAATATACAGTGACTTGTTGATATTTCTGATAAGAATTGCCAATTCATTTACAAAGTTATGTAACATAAGAGGGGACAAGTTAAATTCCAAATTCTAATTAAGAATTCAGCAATACTCCTCTATAAGCATTATCTATGAGTGGAATGTAAACTCACACATGTAGTACACTGCCAAAGTTAAGAATTATTTTTCAAGAAACTGAATAGTCTTCTACTCTATAACTTTAGGTCATCTTTGCTTCTCTCTCTTCTTTGTTATTTTAATCAACATAAATCTATTTTTATCAACCTTTATATTTTATAATTTATAAGCATATTTTTATGCATTTTTTGCTCAAGAGCTGACAATGGCTCTCTTATTGTCTTAATAGCAAGTCAAACTTATACTCCTTGCTTTCTTGATCCACCAAATTTTAGTCAACATGCCTTCCCAACTTTATATTTTGCTGCTTTTCGCCATGCAAACCTTTGCTCCCTTTAAGCATAATTGCTTTCTCTTTAATGTGACACATTCGCTGAAACACGGGGCCTAACTCATTATTTCCTTTACCTAGACTAATCACTTCCTCTAATAATTATCCTTAAAGCCCTAATTCAATCCCATGTCTAGAGTAAATACACATCAATCTTTCACTTCCCCGAACTGTCCTGAGTCCTACCCTGTTTTTAGCACTTCATCATTTTCTACATTTTCAACTTTAGTCACATGCTTCATCTACGCAGCTTCCTGGAGGTCAAGCCCTTTTAGATCACCCATATCACATACAAAGTGGCATGTGTAATAACTATCAGCTGATGGACGTTGATTAATGGTATAAGCAATTTTTAATTTGCTTTTATTAAACTCTAAAATAATTTACTTAAAAATTTTAAATTCCATGAAATATATTCATTGGTTTAAAAACCAAAAGTCCTCTAGGAATGATAGAAAAAATACAAAATCAAAGAACTACAAAATAAATTATGCTTTAGATATACTTAAGTAAAGCTCTTTTTCTCCAAGATCTGAAGAGGGTAAGTACAGATTCTATCCTCGAGATTTAAAGAGGAATAAGTCCAGCATTTTATCATATTTGATGAAATTCCATCTGGGGATTTCTCTAAAGTAAAACAGGACATGTTACGCAAACAGTTATGTTTTAGTTGGAATGAGGCATCCATAGAGTAAACAACTAGTGAAATGATACCTTCCTTTCAAACCACAATACATTCTGAGTTGTAAGGATTCCACAAAATAGCCCATTTGGTATGAATATTCAAACATGAAGTGTTTTCTTCTGGTATCCCAGCAATCTGTTGTTTTTTTCCCTCTGTTTTATAACCCTGACACCATCATAGTCTTCTGAGGTTTTATTTAATGCTGTGTAATTCATTTCTAGCATTCTCATCAAAAGAATTTTTCTTGACAATCAGCCCTAGTTCCCTTAATTAGTCTTAAACTCTTGCTGAGATTTTTTTTTCTCCAATGATTACTATGGAACAGTAGATACAACACACAACCCGTTTCAGAAGTAGTGATACTAAATAAACATACAAGTGCCCCGAACTGACAATTCTTATAAATTAGGTGAAGACAGATGTCTAAGATAAAACGGGGAATCTGAAACAAATGCAAAATTTGCAAGCGTTGAAAATGTAGTCCCCTCTAACATGATAACTTTGGAACAAGTATATTTTTATTTTTAGAGAAAAGCTGTACATAATTATAGAATAAGATTACTTCTCATTTTTAGGTGTGGATTTTTTTGTTTATATACAGGATACTACAGAAGAATGAGTGTATTGACTTAATTTGTGGGAGTCTTGTGGATTAACTCTGGAAACTTAAATTGTAAAACAAAATAAAACAAGGAAATAAAATTCATTTAGCTTCAGTTCTAGGATGGAAGTCTTGTTTCTTTAGGCTGCCCTAAACTATTGTATTGATCTGGCACTGTATCCTTTCTGACAGTATGGGGAAACATACAGGTACTGGTTAGAATTAATATGTATCCGAACTAGTAATTATATATCCCTGAAAAGTAACTGTTACAGTAGTCATGCATAAACTGTGCCCTTTATAGATTTTACAAGCTGGATAACTATAAGTAAGTTATTTAACCTCACTAGACCTTCATTTTTCATATGTAATATTGGTAAAATAACACATTTCATATACATCTCTGGGTAAAGGTAAGATGAAAGGCATTTTTTTTAAAGAGAGAAATAGCCAAACTAAGAAAACTCTAAAGACATTTGTAATGCTATAGCAAAATGCAAAATAAAATAAAATCAATAAAGAACTAAAAGAGTAGTGCAGAACATCACATTGATTAGATTCAGGACAAGATTGAAAATGTCTCCCGTAAAGCAAATGGAAGAGTGAAGATGAGACAGATAGAGAAGAGATGGAGAGTTGACATATGAATGTTGTTTCCTGGAAAATACTCTGTTCATTCCCAGCTCAAGTCATCATATCGTTGCACATGCATCATATCATTTCCTCCCACTCCAACACATTCACCCATTTCATCCCTACGTACTTTTCAGTGGTGAGTTTAAATCTCATTTCCTTCTCAAAACTTCCTTCTCTGATGGAGGATATCTGATGTCCAATTTAGACGAGATTAGGTAGGGTTCTTACAGACTTTTTTTTAGCACCCTTTCTCCTTTGCTATACTCAGTACACCTGTAATTGTCTGTTCTATGTCTCTTTTCCTTTCCAGACTATAAAATCTGCTGAGAACAGACATATTGTAGGGAAACACACACACGCACACACACACACGCACGCGCACACGCACACACAAACAGCACCCAGAATCACTCGTTTTTAATTTAGTGTGTCACGAATCATTCTACCTTTCTTTTACAAGGAGGAAATAATACCAATGCAGCATGAA